ACAAGAAGAGGCTATACAGCCCATCTTGCAGTCATTCGGCTTTGAGGACACGGCTGGGTAGCTTGTTCCATATTCCCACAGTCCTTTCTATAAAGCAGTGCCCGCTGTTCTCTCATCACATAGACAATTTGGGAAATTTAGAATCGAAGTTGTTGTTAATTGTTATAACATAGCAGTTACGCCAGTCTCTTGGAGATGTAGGCACTCGTGTTTACACGCGGCAGGAATCAACATACAGTATTCCAGTGCTTGAAGGCTGACAAAGAAAACAAAAGAACATTCTCACGCCCTATCAACTAATCATTTCCAAAAGAACCTTTTTATTTGGTGCGACAAGCCTTCATAAAAATCCTGAAACATTTCCAATATCTCTCAGGCATTTATTAACAAAATTACTTCCACGAGCAAGTGCAGAGGTCAGTGTATGCAGACTGTGGTTGGGTATCAAGTCCCACACCGCAAGGGAGAAAAGGGTTTCTTCCACTGCTCAGCCTGGGTTAATGGTGTCTCTATAACAGAACCATGTGGAATACTGAATGTTTGTGCAGGTTTGATGAATCTTTAGCCCTTGACATACACCAGCCAATAACTCTTCATGAAACATAATACACAAGAGGCTTAGACTAAAAAATAATTGTTAGGTTCTATTAAATTTCAGCCTAAATAATACTATAATTCAGAAATAAGGATAGATTATTTTTCATCATAAATTTTCTTCACAGAATTTCTGTTCTGCTTATCCTGAACCTTATCCTAAATATTGGGGTCCTCTCTGTAGCTTAGCCACTGCACACTGGGCAGATGAAAGAGGAAGGGACTGAACTCCAGATCTTCAAGGAGGGGGTGATTAAGACAAAGCCCACCCGCCAGCCTCCGGCTCGTCTTTAGGAGCTGGGAGGAAACGCAACACCCAGAGAGACCCCTACAAATCACAGGGGAGCATGGTCAATTCCACACAAAAAATACCCCAATCCATAATCAAACCGTACTGCCCACAAAACATTTATACTCCTGCGCGAATTAGCCTTGCTTGTTTTACGTCTGTATTCTTAGGATGTCAGTAGACCTACAGCAGCTGGTAGTCCAATAATAAACCCATTCTCCAAAAATCACGTGGGGAGACTGGGAGAGGGGCTGTGCGTCCACAATTGCTGCAGCTGATGCATTTGATTGAATATATAATTGTTTAAGCAGGGCCTTGCAAAAGCATTCAGACCCTTCCTAAGGTGTCCCGTTTTGGAAAATCACAAAACGATGCATACACGTTTTCATAAACTAATTATTTTATTTTTATTTTCCGTGTTTTAAGGACTCGTTTAAATGTACTGTAGTACAATGGACAAATCAGCTCAAAAACTAAAAGCAAGTGTTCTGCAGAACCTTGGAGGAGCCCATTAAACAAGCTTTTTGTATGCCTTAGGTATACATTTAAACTTTCAATCTCACACCTCTAGCCATTGTTTTGCTGTCTCTTTTTGTCGGGCTGTGTAAAAACATTTCAGTGAGCAGACAGCAGAATGGACTGTTCCTGACAGGGAACATGAGGGATCAGGATTGAGCATCTGAGATCCAAGCTATTAAGCTGACAGTGAGGAAGTTCAGTTGTGTTTTATTCTGAACTAAATAAGAGAGAAAAGTGATAGTTATGCCAAGAAAGGGAATAAATTCACTTTACCTCTTACTGATGGTGTCCCTGGGTCAGCTGTCACGCTTAATGTTGTCTGTGCTCAGTTCACCATTCAGAGAGCAGTAAGGAGTGCCACCCTCTGTTCACTCTGATGGCTGACCTGCAACTAAGCATTTTATGTGCATTTTAATAATCTTCCTCTAGGAGAGTGGCTCCCAGCCCTGGTCCTGGAGGAACAATGTGGCGGCTAGTTTGTGTTCCAGCCTGGTCCTTATTGACAGTCAGAAATGGTTTTCGTTTTCTATCTTGGGGGAATATTTGTACATTTATTTCAGGCCTTTAAAGTTCAAATGGGACTTGTAACTGATATTAACTTTGTACCAATTTCTGAGTGCAAGATCTTCCCTCACCCAGGGGTGTTTTCTGAAATATTTCCAGATGGAGCTCTACAGAAGGACGGTACCCATTGCTGGGTGTGTGTGATACTGCTGTCTCTGGTCATCATCAATTGATCAAATAGTAGGAGCTGTTGAATCAGAATCAACAGCAAGCAGGTTAAGTGGAGGAAGCTTGAAGGTAGTTTGAAGTTCTGTGTTTTTGACCGAAGAAACAATATGTGAAATGAAAGCCTGAACAACGAAGCAGATAAATTAAATCATCAATTAATAAAGGGGATTTATTGTAGAGCTCATCTGTAATAAAAGCCAGCAGGCACAGTGTTCCTCCAGGACTAGGTTTAGAAAACATAGCTCAAGGAGTCTATCGTATCCAAACAGGGAAATGATAATCAACTTGTAGACAAAGGGTCAGTTGAGCATAATTAACATTTTGTTTGTAATCAGTGTGTTTCAAAAGAAAATATGGTGATCATTTCCAGTTCCCTATAACACAATGGGGACTTGGAGATATAAAGAAGGCTAAGGATTTGGATTGACAGACGCTTTTTGCTCATTTTTCATTTTCACTGAAGCTCTGCTGGGTTCACAATCTCCCCCTTTAAAGCAAAATCATTAATTAAAGAAGCTATGCAGCATGATTATAATCGAGGGAAATTAGAAAGTTCTGTTTTTAATGGGAGTAATTAGATTAACTAAAGTGGGACCACCCGTTTTCAGATATTTAACCTTTTAGTTGTTGCAGTATTTTAACTAAGGTTTTGAAAACAGGTATTTATGAAATGAAATGAGAAGAGGCATTTATTAGTGATTAAATGAAAACAGGCATTTATTAGAAATGAAATGAAAACAGGTATTAATTAGAAATGAAATGAGAATCCTATCCCAGCACTGACCAGGCCCACCTTTGCTTGGCTAGTGAGATCTGACAAGAAACACTGCGGTAATATGTGAAGTATAAAAAACAGAAGAGGGTGGGTGTTTGTGTACATCAGGTTACTCCTCAGAGGGTTATTAATTCTCATCTGAACTACAGGACCTCCAAGGAGATGGCTTGTTTGGCAGTGTAGCTTTGATGAGTGCATTTGGGCTTTCGCTTAACAAGTGCATAAAACATTGTCAAACGTGAGGTGTTCATTTTAATATACAGGCTTGTCATTTGTTTCCATTTCCATTTCCTTGTATCAACATATGATCAGGCCAATCAATCTCCATTTTATATAGAAATGTCACCTGTTCTCTTTGAATGTCTGGTGCTGCAAAGGGGTCTTTGCCTAAACTGCTTGTATACTTCCTCTAAGACTTAAAAAAGCATCAGATAAAAAAGCAAAAAACTACTCCTGAATTAATGTTTCTACTTAAACTTTTCTATTGTCTCTTATAATGATCTAATTTCTTGAGAATTCTAAATTTAATAGGGTACATTTATTAGAATTTTTGTTTAACATACAGTATGTGTGAATTTTAATGTATCATTGGGTATCTATGGTACAGTATAGTGTCTAGAAAATCATATTTTTATGTAAAAAAAGAAAAGATTCTTCAGAATAGTGCTTGTCTAATCCTATAAGTGACTATGATTTCAGCTTTTGTGAAGCTTCTCAGATAAGCACCAAAAATATCACATGCAGCTCCTATATTTTTAAAGCACAATGAGTTATTTTTTTGTAAATGTTACCATAAAATACTTTCAAAAGGCCGGAATTTCCAGGGTGATTTTGTCATTTATTACACATATCAATTGTGAGCTGAGCCAAACAGAAACCGGAACAAATGTACACATTCTCATTTTGCACATAAATAGGTCTGAGACTGGGGTATTATCAGTTACTGTGATGTCTTATAGCCCCAAATATGTCTAAAAATATTTTGAAAATGAGATGTTGAAAATTCTTGATGACGCGACATGCAGAGAAGATAAATGGTGTTGGTTTAATTTGCTTGAAAGAATTAGACTAGCTCAATTTTCATTTCTAATGAGAAAATAAAAACAATTTTTGTAAACTCGGGCATGTTCACTCAGGAGTGCAGTGCTGTTTTTTGTCAGAAGTAGCAATAGGCTGGTTAGGCAGAGAAATTAATATAGTATTTAGTTACATATAAATTAGAATAGTATACATTAAAAGAAAATACGCTGTGTTTTAATAGAACCTGGACATTAAATGACATAATCATAGGTTGTAATTGCATCTCATAAGATGAGGGAAATTAATCTGGAACAAGCCTGCATTTAAAAAATAACACATGGAGAAGAAGTACATTCTTTGCACACGTGTAAAGTCAAACCCCAACTCCAGTCACTGCAGGTCACAGTACAAATAAGACTTGAGACAGTTCCTTTCACATTTAAATTAAGATAAGCTTTAAGATGTACTTTAAAAAGAAGAGTCTCAATGCATACCCGATTACTCAGGTGCTCCACTTAAGTTATCCAGATAAGTACTCCACTTTGAATTTTGCTACCTAGCTTAATGAATAAGGACCCAGACCAACAGTATCAGTGGCCGTGCTCCAGTATCAGCAGGGACGCACAGTTCCCACCCACCACCACCTTACAGCTACCCAGCAGTTTCCCTCCCCAGAAGTGTCCAGCAAGTGATGTGTTGAGTTTCCTAGATTATGAGCATGGCAATAGTAATATTTTAATCACATATTTATCTTTGTATAATTGTATCTTTTTTCTTCACTTTGCACACACTTTGTGAATGTACCTCAGAAGGTATTAGAAAGTACAGAACACATTGTGCTAGATCTCATAGACACACCGGAGATTGCTAACAGCACAAAAGACCCACCGCCCTCCTCTTCACCCACACACAAAATCTGTGAAGGTTCTGTCTTATTATAGTCTTATTATAGATACTGTTAGTGTGCCAGGATTTACTTAGGTTATGTTTAAGGTGGTTGTCTGCTTCCCTGTTAAGAAGGTGTTGCGTATGTGGGGGGAAAAAAATCAGCATTGATTTTTCTTTTTACAGAAAGGTGCTTAAGGAGATACCTGTGGGAGACCTCAATCCTAACGAGACAGTACAAGCCAATTTGGAGGCTCAGCTATTATCCCAACTTCATCATCCAACCATTTTGAAATTCTACACAAGCTTTCTTGAGAGAGACAGTTTCTGCATAATAACAGAATACTGTGAGGTAAGTCTTTGGGGACCTAGCAGTCAAGGTCATTCTTAAACTCTGCACAGTGTCAGGAAAATGTTTCACATGTTTTATGTGTGACGGACCGTATGCAATGTCCTTTTGGCGTGCTTTCTGAAATTCATGAGCAAATTTGTTGTTAATTAAAAAAGAATCTCTCTTTTGCTAGAAGCTGGAGGCTAGATTTAATTAACCTGTAGGACAATGTATTATTTTGTTCAAAGTGATCTTTAACCTTACATTGAAAGCTCCAAAATGTCAGTCTGCTAGAGTTCTGGATACCAGTGTTAGGCCAGCAGCACAGCTAATTAATTAGTAAAAGTGCCACAATATACACTAGATAGAAGGGTCCAATTATAGCTCCCATATTTGTGTTTTTTGGGATTCTTGATTCAATGATTGTGCAGTCTTCTGCATAATTTCTCATGCTCTGTTTGATGTCAACTTTGAAGTTAACGCTTTTTTGAAATGTTGCTGCTTAGTGACTTCATAATGCCTTCATAACTGCTACAGAAGATGTGAATGTGTAATCACATGCACAGAGCTTTACAGGAACGTGCATAAGTGACATAATACACAGTATGCACAAGAAGTCATGAAATTTGTGTTCACATCATTTTTAGAGCATGGTACCACATGATCCTTAAACAAATGTCATGATTTCTTATGCAAGTTTTGTCATTTGTGCATATGAAAGAAAGAAGTGTTCATTGCTTTATGTATCAATGTATTAAACTTAATAAATCCATAAACTAATTCATCTTTAAGCTTCTGACATGTTTTATACACTTCTGAGTATAGAGTCAGCAACATTTAGAATGAAAGCTTGTTTTATGCACTTATCAAGCTTGTTTTCAAGTCTTGTTTTTTCCTTGTCATAGGTGTTTCCAGACATGATCTCCCAGACTTTAATCTTACCCCTCATGCTAATTATTTCAAACCCTTGAATTACCTCTCAAGTATTTGCTTTTCTGGAACTGTGGCAGGATTCTCCATACTAAGAAAAAAAAACTTAAAACTTTAAAACCTTCCCTGATTCCCTGACGAGAACTCTCACAATTGGCATATTGATGGGGCTCTGTGGTATTTATATGCATTCAATTGTCTCGTTATGGATATATTCCCTGATCTGACAATGTCTTATCTGCACAGAGATAACATTAAGCTTTTTGATGAATCGACATACCTAATATTCTCCCAGTCTATGCTCATTTATTAGGTAAAAAAAACTCTTGACGGGTGTATTGCCTTCTTAGAAACTTTGAGCTGTCACTACACTTACTAGACAATGTCACCCACATCTTTAGTGTGTTTCTAAAAGAGAAGTTCAAGAGTTGTCCAATGATCAGAGTACAGAAGGAGCAACAATACTGGTCTCATCGCCAGTCCCTTTATTTCATTGTTGCTTCAAACTTTCTGCCTATAGCACCTATAACAGTTGAAAAAGTGAAAAAAGCAGTTTCACTCGGGAATACCACAGTTTGAGAAAAGGTGGTTTCAGATTTCATCTGTTTTTATTTTTTTCAGGTGTAAATATTCTTTTGACAGCCTTGTCTTTAATGTAAAGTCTCTAAAGTTATTATTCCCTCTCATACACTCCGCCGTAAAAAATGGAGAATCTAGCAGCTGCAATCTGAAAGGGGTTCAAAGAGGCCATTATTGTTTCAATTAAAAAGATCATGCAAACTGGTAGAAGGAGATATACATGTCAAATTGAGCCAACAGGCTTGCAAATGAAGGTGTAGATAAAAGAAGACCTTGTTTAACTAATGTTGTTAATGTGTTGTTGTAATAGTGTATCTGGTGTTGCCGCTGTTGTACTGTTGTTGGTGGAACTATGGTAGCTGGATATTTCAGAGGGGGGTTATTATTGATCCACTACTATGATTTATCAGTAATACATACCCAATAAGTTATCCCTTCTGACTTACCCACAGCACACTAGACATTTTCTGATCAGCTCCCTCACCAAACACACACACATAAAATAGATCTTAACCCCAGAACATGTTGGTCTGCCATGTGCACACCCGAATAAAATTGCACAGTATGTGATACATTGTGTTACAATTCTAAGATTGCGATAATAATTCCAGTATAATTATTTTGGTAACACAATTATCTTTTTGTAATTGTTGCTTTCTTTGGAGTCAGAGGAACGTTTCTCTCAGGACTGTTGGGTGACGTTGGGTTTTTAATCTAGTTCTCTCCTGATCCCCAGAGCTTCTGCTTCAACTTTGACCTTATAAATGACTATTCCACTCTACCTTCCCCCCCGAACAGATTTGTTTTGACTTATTTACCCTTGCTGTCAGGTGATATGATGCTGGAACACAGAAAGTGCAAGCTCAGATCTTTCCATTCTGAGCCTGGCACATCTACAGGGTCGCCCCCCCTGGGGATCCCTCAAGATTGTGCTGAGTGCGATCCGCCAGCTAGCATTATCCGAGGTTTCTACAGCCCCACCTCCCTGTGGACCTCTAAGTGTTGCCAAATTTAGGACAGCACCTGCCACGCGAACACTGACTGCACCGCTGAAATGGCTGGAGGAAAAGCAAGACGCTGCAAGACGACAAAATGCTCCTAAATTCTGACTCGACAGTCGCCCCACGTCACTTATTGTAAGCAAAATGGGGAAAAGCTCCAGCTAGGGACTGAAATTCTATTTTTTTCCCCATTTTGCTGTGATTGGAACATCAGAGGCAAAGATCAGAAAAGAAGGTGCAGGTTTTCAGTGCACTGCAGTGAAGTAATGTAATAACCTGGGCTTACAGAATACAGCAGGATAAGAGTGCCGGGGGCTAGGTAATTCACCAGTAGATAACTCCTCCCTGCCAGCTAACATCATCCTAAGAGCCATCGAGTATGCAATACATATACACTACATGGCCACCTCAGTATTAATCAAGCCACAGGGCAGCTGGGTCTCAGGCTGGGTGGAGTCCCACATAACCGCACCTTCTAGTCTTACCTCAGAGGGTAAGCAAGGCTGGGCCTGGTCAGTACTGGGATGGGACACATCTGTGCAAAATCAGGGCATTGCCCCCTGTACGGTGACCAAGGACACTGTGCTATAGATGTTAAACCCAATTCTTTACTAATTAAAGATTATTGAAGAAGCCATAGAATTGTTTGGCTTAAATACCAGCTGAAATCAACAGGTGAAGCAGTTTCTCTAGGTGGCTGGCTGTGTGGTGGGACTGTGGATGAAGGCTGCCATGTGTCACCCATGTGGGAGCTGCACCGCAGAGATGGGTAAAGCTGGTCTCTTCCTAGATGTAAATTGCTGTGGGATTAAAGAGCGCAATATACATGCAATTTATTGTTATTGTGATCTACAGTTTATTTTTCATATTGCACATTAAATACATACCGATAGACATCTAAAACCCAACAAATGAGCCTTATAACCAATAGAATTTATTGTGTTTTCTTATGCATCCAATGAAACAAAGTAAAAATGCTACTTTCCTTTATAAGTGTTTTTGTAAATAATGAATTATATTTTCATTAAAAGCACATGTACGCACAGTGATTATTACGTTTCTACTTTATGGCAACAACACAACAATGTATCTTACTATTGCTAGAACTAATAAATTCTGAGCAGACATCTTTAAAGAAATCCAGGCCACATGCAATGTACAATGAAATTAGTTATATTTTTCTTAAATAATTTCCAGTGACAAGCTCTTGGGCCTGTTTTGTGGTTAATGAATTGCTTATGCCACTACACTATAAAATATATTTCTCCGTTTTGGAAAACAGATCCAGTAATTGC